TCAAATCTCTGATATGAAAAAAAAAGAAACTATTGTTTTATTTTCTCTTCATTTAACTTATTTTTGTTTAAAAATAAAAATAAAGAAATCACTTTGGCCAATGGCAAAAACCTAAAAATATGCTACCAAAGACAATGATTTTGTCATTTGTACATCACTTTTTGCCAACCTCGTTGACAGAAAGCGTATTGACAAAAAGCTATTGGATGAAAAACATTTTTTTTTAAATTATCCAACTCGTATTCTATCAAGAAAGATGTAACAAGCATGGCAGAACAAGACAATTATTAATTCAGAAATCTACAACTTTGTCAAAATTTCGCATCAAACTAGTCGACTAAAATAAAATGTGAAATGAGTACAAGAAAGAAATTGACGACTCCAATCTATCCTCCTATCAAGAAAACTCATATTATTTTTCTTTTTTCTTTTAGAATTGCAATTTTCAAACGTACACACTCAATTAAGATTAATCATCAAAGTCAAACGCTACACGTAGAAGATGTAATAACTGCACTTATGCATCTTGACAAATTTCAGATTATTACACAATAGACTAAGATTGCTCAGAAAAATTTGGTAATGAATATTCCTTGCGAATTAAAATAAAACATAATATATACGTGCATCTGGAACATGTGCACGTGCTTCTTCTAACTTAGAAGTCCTAAATTTATTAAAATGGAAAACAATTTGCTCACAACATTTTTGTCATATATTTTTTACTTTTTATTAGAACCGTACCATGAATTTTCCCTATTGTTTATTACCTATGATTAGGTACCCAGTTAACTTTTTAGAACCATACCAACAAACAATTTGACCAACCTAGGAATTTTCTCGCTCATCTTTTGTCAAAAATAAGTAAATTAACTATTTTAAACTTCAAACTACCGCAAAGATGAATTATTTAGGGAAAATTGCAACATGGGTCTCTAACCTTTCAATTTTTTGCAGACTTTACCATAACTTTCAATTTGTGCCAGCGAAAGTCTCTAACCTTTCAAAAATATGTCAAAGATGTCCAAATGAACGGTTTCCATCTATTTGACGGTTAATTGATCGAGAAAAACAAATTTTGACCAAATTAAAAAGGTAAAATTATAACCTGAAAATTATCATATTAAATAAATGAACAAAAAAATCAAGAAATAAAAAAAAGGTTTTCTCCTTCAGCTGCCCGACCCCACCCCGACCATGATTATTAACTTTCTTTTTCTCATAATCATCAACTTGTAAAAGGGCTAAGGTTTTCCCTTATTATTATCAACTTGGAAGTGTGTGGGCGACATCTATAGTGAAATGCCCAATTTTTGTAACACAAATAACCAGACGGTGGGGTGTGTGAGCAAAACGGTCACAACATCGAACCACCATCGACCTTCCATCATCACCACCACCAACAGCTGCTATAAACTACCATCATCATGCCAACAATCTCTATTAATTCCTCCACAACAAACATCATTACATTTTTGTCGTCAAATATCACCACAATTTAGATTTGAAAATGGAGAAATAAAACAGTGAATAAAGTTCAGATTTGGGAAGAAAGTTCATCACCAATAACGTCATCACCCTTCTTCCTGCCGGTGAACATCACCACAATATAAATTTAAAGTTCATTTTTCTTGGTCAACTAACAGTCAAATAGATTGAAACCGTCCATTTAAACATTTGCGGCATATTTTGGAAAGGTTATGAACTTTTGCTGGCACACATTAAAGTTAGGGTAAAATTTAATGCTTCTTTATGATTGTCATCGATGTCGTACTGAACCAATGAAAACTAATGACTACCAATTTTCAGCCTTCAAAAGTTGACCCCTTCTTCCTGGGTGTCACCTCCTTCTCTAGTTGTCCCTTTAGCTTGTGTATAGTATAATAGTAGCTTTCAATAATAAATATTTAGTTTTAAATCAATTAGTAATTCTAGAAGACCAAGAAAAAACAAACCCACCTAAATTTTGAAAAATGTGCCTAGTAAGCAGAATACGTTTGCATTCAAAATTTGCGTTCTGAAATTTCTATGTAACATACGTAATATGTTATCTCACTAACTTGGACTTGCCCCCACATTGGCCAACTTCACTACCACTATATAAATGCCATGCAAGATAAACAATTCCATCCACTCGTTTTATATCTACAAGCCAAGAGTGCATACATATAGAACTCTTTTTTATAATGGTGGTTACTAGCAATGGAAAATATGACTGGGCTAAAGAAGTGAAGGAATTTGATGAAACAAAAGCTGGTGTCAAGGGACTGGTGGATGCCGGAGTAGCGAAAATTCCTCAGTTTTTCGTGCATCCACCAGAAAGTTTGGCAACACCAGGTAAAATTGCCAAGAAAGTTCAACTTGAGTTGCCCACAATAGACTTTGAAGGGGTTGAAACTGGTGGTGCAAGGCGGAAGGAGGTCGTGGAGGAGATTAGGAAGGCGGCCGGGATGTGGGGCTTTTTTCGAATAGTGAATCATTGTATTCCATTACATATAATGGATGCCATGTTGGAAGCTGTTAAACGATTCCATGAACTACCAGTGGAGGAGAAAAAGCATTTGTACACTGCCGACAGCAGCCAAAGAGTTAGGTTTAACAGTAATGNCTTGCTTAATATTTTTAACTTCAAACTACCGCAGAGATGAATTATTTAGGAAACAATTGCAACATGGGTCTCTAACCTTTCATAATTTTGCAGATTTTATCATAACTTTCAATTTGTACCAGCAGAAGTCCATAACCTTTCAAAAATATGCAACAGATGTCAAAATGGACGTCTTCTATCTATTTGATAGTTAGTTGATCAAGAAAAATGAATTTTGACCAAATTAAAAGGGTAACTGATAGTTACCATATTAAATAAATGAACAGAAAAATTGGGAAATGAAAAAAAAAGTTGCCTCCTTCGCCCGCCCCCACCCGACCGACCAGACCATGATTATCAACTTTCTTCTTCTCAAAATCATCAACTTGTAAAAGGGCAAGGGTTTTCCCTTATTATTGTTTGAGTGTGCCCAGTGTCTTCCAAAAAAAAATATTTATCGTTGGATATTTTGTTGATTCCTGTTTTACTCTCCAGTACCATCCATGGATTTTAGGATTTAGCCCACAGTAAGCAACTTTTTCAGTCAACTCCTACCAATTTTCAGCCTTCAATATTTGATCCCTTCTTCCTGGTTGTCACCTCCTTCTCTAGTTGCCCCTTTAGCGTGTATATAGTAGCTTTCAATAATTAATAATTATTTTAAAATCAAGTAGTAATTCTAGAAGACCGAGAAAAACAAACCCCTAGTAAATAGAATACGTTTGCATTCAAAATTCGCGTCCTGAAATTTCTATGTAACACGTAATATGTTATCTCACTAACTTGGACTTATCCCCAAATTGAGCAACTACACTACCACTATATAAATGTCATGCAAGATAAACAATTCCATCCACGCATTTTATATATACAAGAGTGTATACATATAGAACTTTTTTTTCATAATGGTGGTTGCTAGCAATGGGAAATATGATTGGGCTAAAGAAGTGAAGGAATATGATGAAACAAAAGCTGGTGTCAAGGGACTGGTGGATGCCGGAGTAGCAAAAATCCCTCAGTTCTTCGTGCATCCACCGGAAAGTTTGGCAACACCAGGTAAAACCGCCAAGAACGTTCAACTTGAGTTGCCCACGATAGACTTTGAAGGGGTTGAAACTGGTGGTGCAAGGCGGAAGGAGGTTGTGGACCAGATTAGGAAGGCGGCCAGGATGTGGGGCTTTTTTCGAATAGTGAATCATTGCATTCCATTACATATAATGGATGCCATGTTGGAAGCTGTTAAACGATTCCATGAACAACCAGTGGAGGAGAAAAAGCCTTTGTACACTGCTGACAGCAGACAAAGAGTTAGGTT